CAGAGATCTGCCTGTCTCTGCCTCCCAAGTGCTGGGACTACAGGCGTGCGTATAAAGACATAAAATTGAATGAGTTTTTAACCTTTAAAAAAGATCTCCATTGCTAATAACACTGAGATGTTGACACGAGAAAAACTCATTTTTAATGCTACTAACTTAGATGTTTGTACCTGCAGGACACATACTTAGTATCTGCATTTTTTAAAAATTTGTTGCTTTTGGGGTGTGTGTGTGCAATGATATTTTTATAGTTACTGGTGGTGGCATTCTGGTCAAGAGTGACTATCTGGTGGGTATGATTAGCTTGGGAAAAATTTCAGTGTCATAACTGCATTTTTGCAAAACAAAATATTATGTATGTATAATACAAGTTACCTTTAGCAAAGCTCCCATCACCTTCCTAGAACACTGAAATATGCAATCTGTTCAGCAGCACCTTACTGAACATTTATGAATAAAATAAGCATAATTTTATACTTTTAGTACTTATGCATTTAAAAGGACAACAAATATTTGAAAGGATAGTATGATAAATGTGATCACTTCAATGGAGTAGACTGTTCTCTGTGAACTTTCAGAGCATCTGGAGGAATGGTCCAGAGAGGGAAGATACAGAGAACTCTCTGAGATGGTGGAAGCAAGAGGGGAACCTGAGCAATAGGAGCCTATTTGGGGAAGCAGCTGGCATGAGGGTTCAACAGGTAAAGGTGTTGCCACCAAGCCTGACAATCTGAATTGGATCCTCCGGACCCACATAGTGAGAGGAGAGAACCAACTCCCTCAAGTTGCCCTCTGGCTTCCACATGTGTGCCTTGGCACATGTAACCCTCTCCACACATATACACAGAGAATAAAGACTAAGGAAATGAAGGTGCTCTGGTATCTAATGATGTTTTCAATGAGTAAGTATATTGGATGCGGGGAACTTGTCCATATAAACTTGCAGCAATGGTGACAGCATGCACACTCAAACTTGACAAAAACCCAGCGTGAAAGTGGGGAAATGGGTAAGAAGCCCAACCTTAGCTGAGGAGCTATTGACAGCTGCTCACTGCTGGGTGAGGGAGAGTTGGTCTTCTTTAAGGGACTGACACTAGATAGGCTGAACAGGCTCCAGTGGATGAACTCACACCAAGGGACATCTGTGGACACAAACTGGACCCGATAGGCCTTAACTAATAAGGCAGAATGCATGAAATCTGGTGGGGGTTCTAGGAAGTGCAGATAAAGGAGAGGGTCTAAATATGATCAAGATATATTATATGAAATGCATAAAAATTTAATAAAAATATATATTGAAGAAAAGAATATTGAATGTCATAATAAATTTTAAAAACAGCCTGTTTGGGGAGATGATCCTGAGGAAGCTTGTATTTCACATATGTCTGAGCAGCTGAAAGGAGCCAAGCATGGCTGAGTCTCACTGGGCAAGGGAGAAAGCAGCTTCAGTGAGGAGGGGGAGTCCAGAGCCAGGGTGCACGGGCCCATAGAGCATTTTCCTAGAGAAGAAGTAGATCCAGCTTTGGTTGAACAGAACCATACACAGGGAGGAATCAGAAGAATGACGTGCTTTTAACATGGGCTTTTGATGGGATGTCTTAGACAGAGACAGTCATAAAGGAAGCTTGCACAGAGGCTGGTGTCATAGCCTACATAAGGGATGATGTTGGCTTGGTCCATTAGGGAAGAAGAAAGCATGTCAGATCCCTAAAGCACTTTGGTGACAAAAGTCACAAGATTTGCTGCTGTGCAGGAAAGAAGAATCCCTCTTGAGTTTCAGAGCCTGAGTAGATGGTGGAACATTTCCTGATATAAGAAAGACTGGGAAAGGAGCCACCATGGGGCATAAAGTAGCCACAGAGATCAACAGTCTATTGATGTTGAGATACCTGTGACTAGAGATGTCAAGTGTGGAAGTAAATGAATGGACCCATAGGACAGATGTTAGTTTGAGAGCTCCCCCGCAAGATGAGAACAACTACCAGGGACACAGTGAAGACAGCAAGAGAATGGAGGCCATTGAGAGACAGCCGTTCCCAGGGTAGAATCTGGGCAGAGAGCCATCCTTCACTCACACCTATGCCACACTGCATGCCTGGAGTGATCTGTATGGCAGGGGGTTGGGGGAGGCAGGGAAGGCTCACCCAAAAGGACTGAATTCAGAGATCAGAGACCCACCTGCAATGTTTTGGCACCCTGTCGACTCACAGCTGTTTGTGAGGAAAGTCCTTTGGCGGTTTGGGGACAATTAGAAGGAAGAGGGTGTAGTGGAGGGAGTTATAACAGATACCTAGGCAGCAACTGATTCTAAACAACCCTGAACTTTATCAAAGGTGTCAATACAGTCTTTCCACACCAGTGGTATTTTCCAACCATGCAAGTTTGAGTCTGAAAATCTCTGTGGTGGGGAAGCTGTACAGGGCAAATGCATGAAATGCTCCCTGAAGAGTCTGAACACATGTTACTAATGCTTTAGATTCATTTGGTATTGGCATAGGCTATAGGCAGCCCAGGCGTGTAACTGAGTTTCAAGTCCAAGGCAGGCATTCCTCATCCAGCACCATGAAGCCTGAGCCTTCTCAGGGCTAGCTGTTATCTCTGACCAGGACAAACAGAAGGTCCTGTGGGACTGTCCTGAGTGACTCTTCCAGGTTATATACTGTGGAGCCACCCATCCTGCAGCCTCCGCAGGGAAGAAGATCCCCATTCTGTCCAGGGAATGAGGCAGCACAGGGGGACAGCGGGATAGCATCCAGGCCAGGAGCTCATCAGGCTCTTGCAGAGAAGGCGGTGAGGCGCTCACAGGGACCTGAGACAGGCATGGCCCTTCTCTCTGCTCTTGAGCTCCTGACTGCCCCCAGGAAGATGGCTCGGGAGGGGAAAGAGAACAACAAACTATTTTCCTGTCTCCTCTGTTCTAGATTATTCTGTGGGAAATGCTACCCAGCAAATAGCTGTATGCTCAGACCCTAGAGCCAGACTGCCAGGGTCCTATCTCCCTTGGCAGGTGACTTACTAGAGCCTGTTTCCTGTAATATGGAGATAATAATAATGCCTACATTATTATGTTATCACGAAGATTAAATTATTTACTCTCTATATGACTCAACCCTGCCTGGCTATCATTCCAGCTATGTGAGCACGTGCTGTGATCCCTGAGCCTCTTTGCCCATGTCATCTGTTTTCTGCGGTGCATCTCTCCACCACATTTCTCTTATCTTTGCATGTCCCTAAAGTTCTGTCCTCAGGCCTGTGGCCATGTCTGTGGGGCATTTTCTTGATTGTTGAGTGATGTGAGAGGACCCAGCCCCCTGTGGGCGGTGAACCTAGGCAGGTGAACCTGTATTGTATAAGAAAGCAGGCTGAGCACGGGCTACAAGAGCAAGCTATTAAACGTTGATCCTCCATGGTCTGGGCTTCAGCTCCTGCCTCCAGGTTCCTGCCCCAACTTCCCTAAGTGATGGACTGTCATCTGGGAGAAGGTAAAATAAACCCTTTCTGTCTTCCGTAGGCATTGCACGACACGGGTGCACTTATTTACATGCAGGCATAACACTCATACACACAAAAATAAAAATAATAAATATTTAAAATATTTAAAAAAATAAATCTAACAGACTCTTGTCTTCCCTTTTAAACTGGATTCTCTTCCTTTCATCCATTAGACAGCATCTGACCCTTCTAGCCTCCAAATTGATCCCTCTCTCCTTCACAGTATCTAAAACTTGCTGTTTTTCACTGTAATTCATCCATCCACCACCCTCCCAGTCAGGCTTTCCTTACGAACACAAATCTTCATGAAGCTTAGAGCAGATGTTCCTTTGATAAGGGAAGTACTTCCCAACTGGGAACAGACGGTCTCCAACTTTCAGTGTTTGACTTAGAATTTTTGGACTTTACAATGGTACAGAAAGCACATCCCTATGACCATTCTATTTTTCAATTTCAGTAGAGCACTGGACAAACTGCATGAGAGGCAATATTTGACTGTACGGTAGGCTCCCTATGAAATGATTGCCTCATTCTAGGCTAGACTTAGGTAAGTGTTCTGAGCCTGTTTCAAGACAGCTGGCTAAGCTGTGGGGTTTGGTAGGCTAGGTGTGTCAGGTGCGTTTTGGTCATGGTATTTTAACTTGCTATGTGCTTTTCGGGGCACATCACCATCATAAGTCAAGGAGTACTTGTATAGTTGGGCACTCTGGGTAGGGTTCCTTCAGCATGTGACAAGGGATAGTCCTCCTGAGAGTCTTCTGGTTTGTCTCGTACGCAGAACACTCAGCATGATTGTTGGCACCCAGCATCCAGGAACAGCAGGACCCAAGACCTGAGATCAGGGCAACTCAACACACACAGAGTGAGACATATATACACATAAACACACACCCGTACACATACATGCATACACGCACACGCACACATACACACACACACACACAAATAAACACACACACGCAGGCTGTCTCTAGCAAGTGAAGGCTCATTGAAAATCGCACAGCTTCTCCCAAATCGAATCTATCCCCCACACCCAGATCAGGCGAAATGTCTCAAATACAGAATGCTCAAGGCTCCGCCACAGCCCCCTTCTCTTCCTGCCTCTGCTTTCTAGTGCCAACCATCACCTGCCATCTCCACATCTTCCTCCACCCTCATCCACACATATCTCAGAGTCTCTCTCAGGCATTAGGTGTTCGATGTGGACACTCTGCTCCTCCTGCATCCCATGTGCCCTTGCTCTTGGGGCTCATGCCTGTTCACCCTCCAGGCCAACTCTGTCCTTTCTCAGCCCTTCAGCCTTTCCTAAATACCTAATAGCTAGTTCCACGGGGTTTGTCTCTGTTTCCTTATATCACCTTGGCCCCTGAACTGGACCTTCAGCTTGTTGAGGACTCTTGTCTCTAATCCACAGAGGCCTGGCGTGCACACACACACACACACACACATACACACACACAAATAGTGGATCCCCAGAGGCATGCCACTTTCTCAGTTTCAAAGCTCTTAATCAAAACCTGACCACACACGCCATGCTCACTGCTGCCCCTAGAAGGAAACCCCAGAAAGACTCTAACACCAGAATAGGATCCAAGCTGCTCAATCTACCCCTCGGCACCTTTGGACTGAGTAGGAATAAACCGTGCTGGTGCCGGCAAGTGACCGAAGAGTTGACCCCTTTGCCACGTACTGCTCTGTTTTCACAACAGGGATTGATGATGAATTGGCCTATGTAGCTTACTTTCTGTAGCTACATATCAGCTCACACTACCGTAAAAGCATGTAGGGTGAAGCGCTGGGCCCTGCAGCTGCAAGACCTCTTTACCTTCTTCTTCCACTTGGTGGAGGTCAGTGATGTCTTTTAAGTCTTCACCCACCCAGGGACGAGCTCCAGCCTCTTTCTTCTTTCTCTCTAGACTCTTATCAGCATTTTTAAAGATCCACACAATCAAGATGCAGACAATGGCTACCAAGACTGGAGTGAGGAAAAACATGGTCAGAAGTCTGATTCCAAAAGTGTGCACCTCCCACACTGGTATTTAAACAAACAGAGCCAGAGCCGGGGGCAGGGAATGCTGGGAAAGGAAGCAAGAAGAGGGAGGCGTGCCAGGAAAGGAACGAAGAGCAGAACTCAGACTCCAGGACGACTTTGCAAAGAGCAAAGATCACAGTCGTGCGTGTGTGGGAGGCATGTGAGCTTGGTCCTGCACCAACACATGCTTGTTTAAAAACTGTGCACTTCGTCAGTGTATTCTCAGACTGTAATCACCGCGGGCTGCATAAGCACTGTAATGCACTAAATCTTGCTAGCAGTGGTCAAATGGCATTTGACCTCTTTCTCCTTTACAACCTTTCTCTTAGAATATCTTCAATTTGCCCGAAGCTAAGAATCACCCTGAGAACTTCTTTTTAAAAAGAAAAGGACTGATTCAGACCTGGTGAAAGAAAATTTCCAGAAAGAGGCTGTTAATGTGTGTC